TCAATTGAAGGTATTTTGTGTAGGGGGAACAGCGGCGACTGCCACTCAAACTATGCGGAGTATGAGTAATCCAACAATCAATTGAAGGTATTTTGTGTAGGGAGGAACAGCGGCTACTGCCACTCAAACTATGCGGAGTTTGAGTAATCCAACAATCAATTGAAGGTATTTTGTGTAGGGGGAACAGCGGCGACTGCCACTCAAACTATGCGGAGTATGAGTAATCCAACAATCAATTGAAGGTATTTTGTGTAGGGGGAACAGCGGCGACTGACACTCAAACTATGCGGAGTATGAGTAATCCAACAATCAATTGAAGGTATTTTGTGTAGGGGGAACAGCGGCGACTGCCACTCAAACTATGCGGAGTATGAGTAATCCAACAATCAATTGAAGGTATTTTGTGTAGGGGGAACAGCGGCGACTGACACTCAAACTATGCGGAGTATGAGTAATCCAACAAACAATTGAAGGTATTTTGCGTAGGGGGAACAGCGGCGACTGCCACTCAAACTATGCGGAGTATGAGTAATCCAACAATCAATTGAAGGTATTTTGTGTAGGGGGAACAGCGGCGACTGACACTCAAACTATGCGGAGTATGAGTAATCCAACAAACAATTGAAGGTATTTTGCGTAGGGGGAACAGCGGCGACTGCCACTCAAACTCTGCGGAGTATGAGTAATCCAACAATCAATTGAAGGTATTTTGTGTAGGGGGAACAGCGGCGACTGCCACTCAAACTATGCGGAGTATGAGTATTCCAACAACCAATTGAAGGTATTTTGTGTAGGGGGAACAGCGGCGACTGCCACTCAAACTATGCGGAGTATGAGTAATCCAACAATCAATTGAAGGTATTTTGTGTAGGGGGAACAGCGGCGACTGCCACTCAAACTATGCGGAGTATGAGTAATCCAACAATCAATTGAAGGTATTTTGTGTAGGGGGAACAGCGGCGACTGACACTCAAACTATGCGGAGTATGAGTAATCCAACAAACAATTGAAGGTATTTTGCGTAGGGGGAACAGCGGCGACTGCCACTCAAACTCTGCGGAGTATGAGTAATCCAACAATCAATTGAAGGTATTTTGTGTAGGGGGAACAGCGGCGACTGCCACTCAAACTATGCGGAGTATGAGTATTCCAACAATCAATTGAAGGTATTTTGTGTAGGGGGAAATAATTAAACGAGAAACACCTGTTTTTTATTAGGATGTAAATGAGTAAACACAGAGCCGAAGTGGAGCTTATCCCTACTTGCAAATTCAAATTGATTGTATCAAATAAAAGAAAGAATGAAGAGACTGGTAAAATTATATAAGAATGAAAACTACAATGAATCATAGCACTTGCAACTTCGATGAAAAAAGCTTACGGCATAAAAAACATCTTTGAGCAGACACCAGTTGAACCGAAAATAAAATGATTTCATAAAAAAAATCAAATTTCATTAAAAAAAACCTTTCAAGTCCACCCCTGAAGCTGGAATGAGCAACACTTGCATTTGCAACTGCAGCACAAGTTGCTTACAGCAGAGGTAAAATCCGTGAAGTGGTTACTGACCTGACAAAACTTGAGCAGACAAACGAAAGTCTGTCTGATCGACCCCCGACCTTAGAGAAAGAACCTGGAAAAGGGAAGAAGTGAATAGAATGACCATGCATGGAAGAAGTGAATAGAACGGCATTGCTAACTGATTTAAATGATTTTGTTAAACTAGTTGTTAAACCAAATCTGCATTCCGATTTGATACGCTTGCTAATCGCAAGCGTAATAAACTATATAAACTGACATTGTATTAAAAAACAATATGACTTTACACCATTTTACACAAGACTTACTGGCAAAAAACTCTATTGTTTATCCGGCTTTCAAAAGAAGTGACGCAATATTTGTGCTATGAATGTTTTTTCTGTAAAAAAATTGAATTTTAAAGTGACATTTTTCGACCGAACGTTTCGATTCAGTCTGAAAAACATTGTGGGTTAAAGCTCAAAATTGCAAAAATATTTCGCTTCCGACTCTTTTCCGCAAAGTTTTGGCCAGTTTGGTACTATTAATTGCGCTATTTACGTGTATTCCATAATCACAGAGACTAAGCTACTTAGTCTCTGAGATAATGGAATACACGTTTCTCAGTAAGCATCTCAATATTTGAAACAATTAGTCTGCCTCATTTTGTTTTTTTTTTGCCGCTCACTCTAAATTTAACTTGCCGCTCAGACTGATTCAAATTGATTGTATCAAATAAAAGGAAGAATGAAGAGACTGGTAAAATTATATAAGAATCAAAACTTCAAAGTTGTTTTGATGAAATTAATTGGACGGTCTGGGAAAAAAGAAAAATTACAAGCATTGAACAAAACCTCGCAAGAGAGCTTGAAATTGTCGATGATGGAGCTAAGTTTGGAATGAGTTTCTTATCCCCGGATGGTTTGCACCCGAAACCGGAAAAAAAGTACAACAAACTGAATAAAGATCTGTATTCTGTTCTTAAGCTCCTCTGCTAATGTACCCACGCGAGAATCGACTTGGAGAGGAGTGAAAGAGCTCTGATGTTTTTAACTGGTTCGAGCCTTTTAATGTGATGAATATACGATGAAGTGCAACGTAGGAAAAGATCGAAAGAAACAATCGGAAGCAATTCAAACCAGGAAAATGAAAATACGAGAAACACCCGACAAAATCACTCAAAATAGAAACTCGAAAACGTATCAACTAACACCTCTGAGAACAAGAAGATGTGTCTAAATAAAAAATGATGATGATGATGCAATGTTGAGTTACTAACTGAGAAATATATCGCTTCAAATGTGTGGATGCAAGATTTGCAAAACCAAGTTTTATTTTACCTTTTCCCAATAAACAGTTTTCCGGGTACCTTAAAGAAGAGCCGGAACACTCAAGGATATGTACTGACACAAGCAGCTTGTATATTTTGTACTATGCGGAGTATGAGTAATCCAACAACCAATTGAAGGTATTTTGTGTAGGGGGAACAGCGGCGACTGCCACTCAAAATATGCGGAGTATGAGTAATCCAATCAATTGAAGGTATTTTGTGTAGGCGGAACAGCGGCGACTGACACTCAAACTATGCGGAGTATGAGTAATCCAACAAACAATTGAAGGTATTTTGCGTAGGGGGAACAGCGGCGACTGCCACTCAAACTCTGCGGAGTATGAGTAATCCAACAATCAATTGAAGGTATTTTGTGTAGGGGGAACAGCGGCGACTGCCACTCAAACTATGCGGAGTATGAGTAATCCAACAATCAATTGAAGGTATTTTGTGTAGGGGGAACAGCGGCGACTGCCACTCAAACTATGCGGAGTATGAGTAATCCAACAATCAATTGAAAGTATTTTGTGTAGGGGGAACAGCGGCGACTGCCACTCAAACTCTGCGGAGTATGAGTAATCCAACAATCAATTGAAGGTATTTTGTGTAGGGGGAACAGCGGCGACTGCCACTCAAACTATGCGGAGTATGAGTAATCCAACAATCAATTGAAGGTATTTTGTGTAGGGGGAACAGCGGCGACTGCCACTCAAACTATGCGGAGTATGAGTAATCCAACAATCAATTGAAGGTATTTTGTGTAGGGGGAACAGCGGCGACTGCCACTCAAACTCTGCGGAGTATGAGTAATCCAACAATCAATTGAAGGTATTTTGTGTAGGGGGAACAGCCGCGACTGCCACTCAAACTATGCGGAGTATGAGTAATCCAACAATCAATTGAAGGTATTTTGTGTAGGGGGAACAGCGGCCACTGCCACTCAAACTATGCGGAGTATGAGTAATCCAACAATCAATTGAAGGTATTTTGTGTAGGGGGAATAGCGGCGACTGCCACTGAAACTATGAGGAGTATGAGTAATCCAACAATCAATTGAAGGTATTTTGTGTAGGCGGAACAGCGGCGACTGCCACTCAAACTATGCGGAGTATGAGTAATCTAACAATCAATTGAAGGTAGTTTGCGTAGGGGGAACAGCGGCGACTGCCACTCAAACTATGCGGAGTATGAGTAATCCAACAATCAATTGAAGGTATTTTGTGTAGGGAGGAACAGCGGCTACTGCCACTCAAACTATGCGGAGTTTGAGTAATCCAACAATCAATTGAAGGTATTTTGCGTAGGGGGAACAGCGGCGACTGCCACTCAAACTATGCGGAGTATGAGTAATCCAACAATCAATTGAAGGTATTTTGTGTAGGGGGAACAGCGGCGACTGCCACTCAAACTATGCGGAGTATGAGTAATCCAACAATCAATTGAAGGTATTTTGTGTAGGGGGAACAGCGGCGACTGCCACTCAAACTATGCGGAGTATGAGTAATCCAACAATCAATTGAAGGTATTTTGTGTAGGGGGAACAGCAGCGACTGCCACTCAAACTCTGCGGAGTATGAGTAATCCAACAATCAATTGAAGGTATTTTGTGTAGGGGGAACAGCGGCGACTGCCACTCAAACTATGCGGAGTATGAGTAATCCAACAATCAATTGAAGGTATTTTGTGTAGGGGGAACAGCGGCGACTGCCACTCAAACTATGCGGAGTATGAGTAATCCAACAATCAATTGAAGGTATTTTGTGTAGGGGGAACAGCGGCGACTGCCACTGAAACTATGAGGAGTATGAGTAATCCAACAATCAATTGAAGGTATTTTGTGTAGGCGGAACAGCGGCGACTGCCACTCAAACTATGCGGAGTTTGAGTAATCCAACAATCAATTGAAGGTAGTTTGCGTAGGGGGAACAGCGGCGACTGCCACTCAAACTATGCGGAGTATGAGTAATCCAACAATCAATTGAAGGTATTTTGTGTAGGGGGGAACAGCGGCGACTGCCACTCAAACTATGCGGAGTTTGAGTAATCCAACAATCAATTGAAGGTATTTTGTGTAGGGGGAACAGCGGCGACTGCCACTCAAACTATGCGGAGTATGAGTAATCCAACAATCAATTGAAGGTATTTTGTGTAGGGGGAACAGCGGCGACTGCCACTCAAACTATGCGGAGTATGAGAGCGAGCGAAGGCACACAGACCACTCAGAGACTGCAGACCACAAACACTACTGGGGGTGCGGGGAGTAGACCGAGACATATGAGACAGCAGAATAAGAAGAGACATCAGCAGGGGGGTCTGGATGACATTAGAGAAGAGGGAAGCAGCTATGTGAGCAGCAACAACGCTTCGAAGGAAGACGACCCCTACTCACACACTCAGTATGGGGGGAGGGGGTCTCAAGCACAACAACATAGCAAAGAACAGGTAGATGCTGTGAGCAATCAAATCTACAAGCAGATTGGAATTGAGGTTATAGTCACTGTAACTCAAAACAACTGACCATTCTTTTCCACTTTCCCACATCCCTCAGAACATTGTAACATAAAGTCTACCAATTGGGCACACCTCAATTTCACAAAAAAATCATAATATTCACATCTTTTCACTTGATCTTGCTGACTTGTTTTTTTTTTGTAGTTTAGAACATCAAAAGTTTTAACAACAGGCTTTCATAAAGTAAGTTCACAAAAAATCAGAGGGAAGATTGAAAAAAAAAACTAACCATACGACTAATTGCCTAGACGAAATAAGAAAGGGAGAGTAATACATGTAAGGCCAGAATAGATAATGAAACCGCCCCTGAAAAGGATGAACACAGGAAGTGCTAGATTCGTTCGTTCAAGTCAACCGCTGTTTGATTTAATGTGTTCATGTGATTGATATGATATCTAAATTAAAGGTGATTAGGTAATTAGAGCGAAGGTAATTAGAGTGAAATTAGAGCAAGACAACCATTATGTTTGTGAACTTGATGGAGGCTAGTGTTTAGAAGACATATGGTGGCCAGAAGCAGATTTACGGCCACGATATTAAGACGTATGGTCAGCAGCAGCAGCAGGGACAAGCAAGGGGCAAATACGAGGACGACAGGATCACAGCAGAGGTATTGAGGGGGAGGCTTTCATATTCCCATCCCTCTTAAGGTGCGACCAACCCCACGACATTTGATAGACGCCAGTTGGACCGTTAAAAAATGATACTTGAAATTTTGAGATAGATTGAAAAAAAAACTTTTTTTATACCTAAAAGAACTTTAAGTGAAAAAAGAGATAATACCAAACACGAACCTGTAAAACAAACAATTAAGCGGAGTTTCGTTCGACACCAAAGGAGGAACAAACCACTAAATCGGAAACTTAGTTAGCAAAAATGTCAAAAAACTAAAACCAAAGATTTGTCGAAACGTTCAGGTCGAATAAAGCTTTGAAGCAAATAAAAAAGTGAAAATAAAAAAACTATCATAGTTACAACCAAGATCGAATGCAAAAATGCTAAAAACACGTCTTTTGGTTAACGAAATAACGTTATCAGTTGCCCAATACGATGACGATTATGTGAAAAAATAATATAATCTGATTTCTTAACTAATCGCCAGAGGAAAGAATTAGCCAAATTAAACTTCAAAAAATTTCTACCATCAGGCAAGCGATAGTCCGACAATTGATTTTTCCAAAAAAAATCCATAGTACAAAACTTGGTCGGAATCGAATAACCCTTTTTTCCATCCCAAGCTTCTGCGACGAACGAGCAAAAATTGGTAGCTGGATCTTGATCTGAAAGCAATTTGATGCTAGTGATTTTTATCCACATGTTTTTAAGTGTCATAGAAAGAGGTGCCAAAAGTTTAATCGAAAGAACGGTTGGGCGACATTTCGTAGCAAGCGACGATTCGTAACAGGCGACAACTCGTAATTCTTCAAGAGGCGACTATTCGTAAAATTGACAATTCGTACCAAGCGACAATTCGTATCAATGTTTTGTTTGTATCAATATCAAAGCCCATGCTGTGAAACGTCGAAAGACAGTTGTAAAACAAGAATCAATTCTCCTTGTTATGTTATAATCATATAAATAATATAGATAGTTTAGTATTTAAATTATGTCATGACAATGAAATAAATACAACTTAAATCTTTCAAAAGTTGAAGAGAATGAATAGAGAGCGCATGATGTTAAGACTAGAGTGGATTGGCAGGTCGGTCACGACCTTGACAGATAATGGAATTTAGCACGAATAGCTAGCACACTGTTGACGTCATGTTTAAATCTAAGCGACGACGCACCACATTTCCCCCTCTCGGGAAAAAGAATTCAAACCGTGTTTGAATTTCTTGACTATAAAAGTACAAAATTACTAAACGCGCTCTTACATATGAAAACCGTGAAGAACATCAGGTAGACAAAGAGATTCATAGAAATTGACTTATCATATATAGAGAAATTTGATATGAAGTTTAAAGTTTGTAGCAAGAACAAGGTACAATAGTTTGTATAAGTTCTGGACCAAATGCTGAATTCGATAAATGCAAAAGTTTTATTTATCTGACCGACGTACTCTTTTTGGGGAAGCGAATAAATTTCCTATGTAAGACTGCGGAATCCTCGGGTATATCTGCCCTAGACTGCCCTACTTGGTTTGATCGATCTGAACCAGACACGACAAAACGGACTTTCTTGTCCGGAGAGGCAGGTGTTGACAGAGGAGTAGTTGTTGACTGGGACTGAATGACATTAACTGAATGTCTAATAGGACTACCGTAAAATGTAGTCTGTTTTTTCCGTCGAGATGAGGACCGTGACGAATTTGACGATGAAGACATATTCCCATCCTGTTCCGAAAGGATGACGTGACTATCTTGGGTGTTAGAGCCCGATGCTACCAATTTTGATGAAGTTCATACTTGTGACTTCGGGATTGACGATTCCTCGTCTGAAGAAATGGGAATAAGATCTGAGCATGCTGGGGTCTTTATTGGAGTTGGCGACTTTGTCTTGATGCTGATAGGAATTTCCGTTCCTAAATTGCCAGACTTAGAGGAGGAGACAATAACTGTAGACTTTGGTTTGATGCTAATAGACTTTGGTTTGATGCTAATAGGAGCCTCTGTTCCTTGATTACCCGACGTAGAAGAAGATACTGTTAAGTCTACCACCGGAGTAGAATGCTGTGGATAAGGAATGTTCTGTATACCCGGAGCCTCCGAAGTTGCATCTTCCCTTAACTTCGACGCCACCATTTGGCTGCGGGGTGGGGTATGTGAAACTGGCATAGATGGGAATTTCGAATGAGCAGGCACGTAC